GTTCACATAAAAAGTTGTTAAAGATATAACTCAAGTTAATAGTTCTTCTCTTTTCTGAGAATAGTCGTTAAAGTTTCGGTAAAGAGAATCAAGCAGACGTAAAGCGGTGCCGTGAAGGCACGCAGAGTGCGATAATTAGACACTCGGCCTCCCGAGTATCTAATGGAGACGGCTTCACGGACGCATTGCCCCTCTGGTGGAAGTAAGGCTTATATGAAACCTTTGCTTTTCTTTTGACCAGACTCCCGGCTGCAATGAGACTCTACACTGAGCAAATAAGTAACTTCTTCCCGCGGTCTGGGCCAACCACGGCCACTACTTAACTCCAGCAATATACTGTTGCCGCTGTCAGATCAAAGTTGAAAGATTGCTGCCGCGTCTCCTGACGCAGGTGGTACCAGGAATAAGAAGAAAAGAAAATACGGAGAATTAGTCAGATTTTACTGGTCCCACATGACTCAAAATTCGGTACGAGTTAAAAAATCTAAAGATTAAGCTGTGGAAAATAGATCAGTCCGTACTATGTACATAGACATAGTATGCGACGTGAGTACATCATGACGGTATTAGAAGAGCAAACGCTGGCTTAAAGTGGAATTCTATTGCTTTGGCCTTAAGTCGCATTTTAACTCTGCCTTTCGCTTCGAAACTCTTAATCGCAAAGTTAAAACACATGCCCCTCATTCTAGCTGAACATATTACATTGGACTTCATGAGTTTACTCTGACGCTCTGGTTCGCTCATATCATTTTCTTTTAAAAATTGTGTTTAGTGAAAAATAATCTTTTACTTTTTTTTTTAACTTTTACTTTAAAAATACTTGTATTTTAATTCTTAAAAACCTTTGCAGATAATTAATTTGAAAAAAGCATTTAAGACTTCACAAATTAGTGATAATGATGATTCTATGCAAATTGACGCGCGCAAAACTTCCGCGACAAATCCGGAAGTGCGTAAGAAAACTTGCCGAACAATTAGACCTACGGGTAAGCTACACTAAGAAAATATACAAAACGTTTACCGAGTGAACAATTTTTGATTTTGTTTTTCATAGCTTGCAATAAAAATGAAAATTGTTTTATTTTTGTTTTTCTTTTTGTTTTTTTGTTTTTTTTGTCTTCTGAATTAATCGCATAATAAAAGATACAAATATTTATTTTTCTCTTTTTACAGATTTCTTTAAATTTAATAAGTGATTTCTAATAAATGACAGACTCATTTACAATAGCAATTCCAGAGAAATGCTATCTTCGTACAACACCAACTGCAAGTCATAATTATGATGGATTTAAAAAAAAAAAAAAAAAAAAAAAAAAAAAAAATAGAAAAAATATGAATTTTCATTTAACTCCTGCTCGAACGCTTACAAACAACATAAAAAGAATAAAAGTATACTCTACCATGTTTCATATATATATATATATATGCCTTTTTTCTTATTCGGATTAAAAGTAAAAAGAAGAAGACGAAGAATAATAACTCAATTAAAAGTTTTCCAATTCATATAATTCCCTTATTTTTATAATCAATTGCATTCGGTTTTTACAAGCTTATCATTACACTTTCATTTCTTCATTTCACAAATGAATATTTTATCGGTAAGTAGCAAAAATTTTCTTCATTTCCTTGCAGAATTAAGCGGCATTTAGATTAAGTCGGAAATTGTGTGAGGTTTGAATTTGTTTTAAATTTTTTTTTTTTTTTTTTTTTTTTTTTTTTTTTTCTTAATGATTGTCCTTGACGATCGATGTCCTCAACTCATTTATATAGCAATCGAGTCGTGGGGACATCAATCGTGGACGGATGGAGGAGAGGAATAAACATTTTGTGAAAACGTTTGGAACATTCAGTGCGAAGCTTCAGTATGTATGTATAAAGCTATAAGCTCTTGATCAATATCAAATTGTAAACAGTTTTAAGCCTTTTCGCCCGTTTCCGTTTTCCCCTCTATCCGTTTCTGTTAATTCGTGCGGTAAACCTCCTCCGGTCGCGAACATTAAGATATCACCTTCAAGTTTGGCGGAAACATTGAATGTTTCAACATTTTTCCCGCTACACGTATCCTACAACAAAGAATTTCCACTCACAAATCTGTAGGTGATACACAAATCCCCCCATGCAAAAATGAAAGGAAACGCCCGCGCCCATTTAATCAAATATAATTTTTTTTTTTCTTTTTGACATCCATAAATAATGAAAAATGAACGCGCGCTTGAATCGAACGATAAGTAACACGTTCGCGGACATTAAAAATTTCAGGTAGCTGCAAAAATAGGCAGGCAATTATTTTTGAAACTACTTGTAATATCCAAAATCTGATTATATATATAATATACGAGTAGTCAGAACATCGTATTTTAACTGTTGTATAAAATGAATGTTATAGCATCCACGACAATATAGACCATATTTATATTAATTACAAAAAAACTTACATGAAATTAAATGAACAAAAATTGGCTTTAAAATTTAAATGCTGTAGCATTCACGTCATTTTGCATCATTATGAAAATGAATGCTGTAGCATTCACGACCGCGAACGTGATAAGAGATCATGGTTAATGCATAGTTGCTTGCCGACAGAAGGAACTCTTTGAACTCAACTAATTGTCAATTCACTTCATTGCTTGAGCTAACCTTACAATTGTAAGAACTAAGTCAAGGAAAGGTTATTTCATGCTCATTAAAGCTGAAATCATCGTACCCTCATGTACACGGTGAACAAATAAAGGTAAAAAAAAGATACGATTTTTTTTTAATCTAATTGTTTTCCTATTTTTAGTCTTTTTTTACGATAACGGTGATGGGTACGAAAGATTCGATCACGAACCGAATATAATTTTCTTACATGTTTTTCTCTCACTCTCTACTCTCTATACATTTGCGTATTTTTCCGTGGTAGTTTGTTTGACAAACAATACTCAGCATAATTGTCAAGTTTGGCGGCAAATTGAAGAAACACATGGACGGTGTGACGTTCAAAGAAAACACTTATTTCATCGCCTTTGTATGTGAGAAAACTGGCGAGTTCGACGCATTTTATACCCATCATCAAAAGACGTAAACATATTCATTTGGTTAAACAGTTTGGAAGAACATATCCAGGAGCAATATTTGAATTTGCGAAGACGACTTAGTGTTCGTACGATCGCAGACCGATGCAATATCACAAATATTTTATTATATTAAAAAAAAAATGCCTATACGATATTTCAAAACACATTTTTTTTAAAAAACGACAATCCCCGTAAATCGAAGAATTTTCATTTCTGTCAATCAAATTTTTACAATATCTTTAAAGTAGCATTCGATAAGTTAGTTTAAACACTATTTCTTAAAAAAAAAAAAAATTGCCTTACTTTGCTCAAAAGCTGAAATATTTTGTTCAAAGCGCCAAACACACAAATATCAAGATTTTTAAAATCATGCTCGTGCTACGCTACTTGTCGCCATGGACGTGCGTCTATTTTTTTTTTTTTAACTCTTTTTTTTTTTTTTCTTATTTCTTGTTCTGCGTGTTGCAGAACTTCGGTATTGCCATTTTTTAGCATTGTTTAAAAATATATTTTTTTTTATGTAAGTGCTGCAACTGAATAACTTTCTTTTAGTCTTGTACTCTAATCTTTCTTATTTCTTGTAAAAAGTCTTACACTACCCTGTTTGCCTTATGTGAGGAGTGATCGATAATGTGATCCGATCGGAACCATTTTCAATAGCGTTCGCCAAGAACATGTCGGTGTATCAAATTTCATTAAAACATCTCAGAAATTGCAATCAGCAGGAACAAGAAAACAAGAGAGACAGACGGACAGACAACGTTAGATCGGCTCAGGAAATGATTCTCTTTTCTGGACATTGTATACATCCGCACAAACTTAGTATATCTGTGCACTACAAGTGGTATAGGGTATAGAAACGATAACAAACTAAACACAGGACTAACAGCTTAAAAAACTGGTGCTTTATCTTCTCAGCTATAGTGTCTAGTCACTTCAGTATGTTCAGTCTTGTTAAAGGATTTCCAATTAATCTTGCTAAAGGTTAATAGATCGATCTAATGTAATTGAAATTAACTCATTTTTTTTTTTTTTAATTTAATTTATTTTCAAACGTTTAGCTTAACTCTTAATCCATTTTTACACGCCACCCTTAGATCCCATCTTAGTTTTCTTTGCCGGGATGGCTTTTGATGTATTCAAGAGCCTTTAAAACGTGAGCGGGTACGGGTGGTGGTGTTGGCAATAAATCGCTGGCTGGATGATAACCTTGCTCGTCAGCCACGTAACTGACCTTAACATGTACACCTTCGGGAGAAATCCATTCGAAATGGCCATCAGCATTTCCATGAGCATCACCTTGGGCGGATGCTTGGATGTGATTGCTCGTTTCAAAATCGTATTTGAAACCGTCAGCTTCAACATTAACATCCAAATTTTTGGTTTCAGCATGTGCTTCTTCCCCAGCGGCTGCCACGTAGGCGATCAAGGCAGTGATGAGTATCTAGCAAATAAAGGCAGGCGTGTGCATAATAATTAGAAAAAGAAAAGAAAAAAATTAACTCAAAACGAAGGACTTTTTGCCTTTAACTTACAAACTTAAACATTTTCTTTTCTTGTGTTGTTTGTGATTTGTTCGATTGGAACAGAGAAATGGAATTGATGCCTTGTTCAGCTGTTGATAACGTTATTTATATCGCATCAAAAACGCAAATATCAAAAAAAAAAAAAAAAGAATATAATCTAGTTTTCAAAGCTTTCGATATGAAGACGAAAAGAAGAGCTATTACTTTCTAATTGCACGAGTATTGAATGTTGTGGTTTCGCATGTGGTTGCTTTCTTCTTTTTTTTTTTTTTTTCTCTGTACACCTTCAAGACTTTCAACATTTTTCAATAATATTTTGTAGAAAATTTCTTGCAGAATTTAAATTTCTTGATCTGCAATAGAGATACTATTTAAATGTCTTGCATCATTTCGAATGTTATTGAAGATGAATAAATATTTACCATCAAATGTTTCTGAAGCAGCATCCTAGCTCCCTAAATATAATTTAAGGAAATTATGCATAAATTCTTCTAAAGTCAATCTGTTTAATACTTTATCGCTACAATAACAATTGTGTACATTAAACAATAGTAAAATGTAGAGCAACAACAACAAACTTCAAGCAATACAATGTGTAGTGTATAGTGACAACAATAGTAAGAAGCACAGCCATTAAGACAAAGTGTTTGCTGCACACAATTGCATACATGCGTAGATTTAGTTAAACTTTACAATACGTATGTACTTATGTACAGATATGTCAACTTTTCATCTGCATAAGCGGATACACAATATGCTCAAGTTATTCACTGTTATTTATTGTAAAGCAGAGCGGTAGTCGTCAAATTGAAATCAACTACGGGATACTATAGAATATGGGATTTGAAGCATATAAAGTAAATCTTTTGATTTGTACTGTGTGATCGGCGTTTTCTTTTTGGCCTTTGGCTATATGGGATTTTTTATGCCCCCCTTGAATGCGACGCTTGTAACAATTGACATCCATCCCCTAGTGTATGGGAACGTGTTCACTTACATATCATTAACGTAATTTCTTTAGAGCTTCGTTTAACCCGTTAATTGCTTTATTCAAGTGTCACAAAAACATCTGATGTCGCTATTAGAGGTAAATGAAATATATTTTACGTTTTAACGGTATGTGGCAGATACGTTTTTAGTGCGTAAACGAAGGGATTTGCAGCGTTCGTATAATACATTTGCATTTATTTTCGTACCAACAATTTGATCTTGTTTTCATCTAACGGCATATTTCTTATGGGTGCTATCCCATCGGAGTGAATCCAAAATCTCTACTGATCTCTACTTGATCTTAACTGGTAAAATTCTTGTCAAATACCTGTTTTTTCGTATGAAAAATGTATGAAAAATTACAGTTTCTTAATATACAAAGGCTCCCTTTTCATAAATTCTCGTATATGGGTTGGGATCCAAACAATAAACTCACGTAATCCAAATGTGGCTTAATTAATTTCTATGTGATAGTGCTCTGATGAACCAAATTTAATCATGAAATTCTAAAAAAATGGACTGCTTAGGTTCTCAAAGATATTTGGCACTTGCAGTTTTGTGTGTGAAATCGCAGCGGTGCGATAAGAAAGACGAAAGAAGAGGAGGTGTTTTACGAGAGCCATTGTCTTCGAAATTTCGAACAAAAAGATTTAAAGAGTACGTATGTAAAAACCCATACACTTATATACTTTTTCATTTTGTAAACGCCATACCACCCGTGGTATAGGATGTACGCCGGCATATGTAACATCCAGAAGTGCTTAAAATAGACACACTTTTCGTTATTTATTTATTTTTTATTTTATTTATTTATTTACTTTATTTATTTTTATTGACAGTCGAGTTCAATTGACTCGTGAAGTAAATCTTATATTAATTAATATTAAAAATTAATAATAATAAAAATAAAAAAAAAAAACATTTAAAAAAAAAAAAAAAAAAAAAAACATGTACACAACTAGCATAGAGTCACGCCCACAACCAGTACAGGACCAAATTGCAAATGGACCCCTAAGCCAGTGCAAACGTGCAAAAGCTTGGCAACCGATAACAGTTAATAATAATTAATTTTCGAATTATATTAACTTATTAACGTTAAACGCTAGTTTAAGTACGACATAGGTAAATCGAACATATTAAGCAATGTTGCTTTAATGGACTTTAAAGAGTCCCATAATGAGAATAAGTGATAGATGTCATTTATATTTCTGCAAACAACTCTGAGCGGATTAAACAACTCATAATTACATTTACATTGACTAAGCCCGATCAAGATGAAGAGCCTAGAGAAGCGGTTAGGACGTCAATCCAAATTCACTTTCTTAATCGATTTAACCACGTCTGTCCCCCTGGTGTCCGTCCGTCCGCGTTTGTGTCCAAGCTACAAGTCACTACTTTTGAAATATTTTGCCGAAATTTGGTACCCGAATGAACGGATCGTATTGAAAATGAATCATTTTCACGATTAAAAAATGGTATTTCCAAAATTTCGCGACAAAAATTTCTGAACAATAATATTTTGGCAGATGAAATTCTTTTCGAATGGACTAACGTCATCAATCCATTCTATTTGAAACTTCAGTTTTAAAAAAAGTGCAGTCGATTTGAAATTTTTCTTTCTAAACGCTGGGAACGGTCCATAAAATCGAACATTTTAATCCATTTAAAACATTCATCGGATGAAATTTGAAACCCTTGCTATGGTAAATTCGAAGAGCGAATTCGAAGAAGAAAGGTGAGTTTTGAACCTTAATTTTGTGTAGAATTCTATTACTACTAACCTATGGTGCATGCAATACATGTCATAACACCCAATAAGCCACCGATTTGATATATATGTGGCCACCCAGTTGACAGACTCATTTGATTTCTATATAGTAGCAGCCTTCAAACGCAGTGTATCAATATTTCATGACATGCCGACCCGTTGTAAAAATCAAAATTTCTGTTTTGACGAGAAAACGTAAACGTAAACTGATATCATGAATTTCAAACTGTTTCTAAATGATGCTTGATTTCGGTATTGATGGATTGTAAAGGAAGGCATTTAAAACTGCTTAGCGCCTTGCAAACAAAAGATTGATTGATTCACACCTTCTAGAAAGCCTTCTTCGTTTATACAAAGACAAAAGGACAAGAAAAAACAAAAAAGATATCGAAAATCGTTGCGTTCGAAACCTACGTTTTATAAGACATAACTTATGCACGGGATACGAAAACCCTGTCGATGATTTTGAAAAACCGCAAAACGTTTTCAAAACAATATTCGTTTGTATGAAACTATCACTTATATATATTCGATTCCAAACATTCTCGAGAATTCGTCTTGGTCATACAATTGCAATTCACCAATGGATCCTGAAGAAGTCTTCTTCCCCAATCTGCTGTTGTGGACAAACTCTTACTATAAAGCACATTCTCTGCGACTGCCTCAACTTTTCCTTGGCTGGAAGTATTGCATTTGGAACGATTAACCCTTTGAACATTCCACAATTAGCTTCAGAACAGAATATCAATTCTATACATTACTTTATTAATACTACTAAGCTCATTATCTAATGTACATTTTATTATTCTTTTTTTTAATTAGAGCCGATAGCCTGTGTTGCTAGTGCTCAATGTCTTTTTTTTAGTCTAAGAATTCATTTCATTAGTCTAAAATTAAAATAATAATAATAATAATAATATATTCGATTTAAATGTCTTATGAAAAGTTAAGAGAAAAAATTCGTATTGCAAATAACGGGTTAATATTTCGTCAAATGAATGCGTGCATTTAATTTGTTCTCACACTTACTCAAGGTAATTGAAAATTTTTACATAGCATCTTTTCATAATCAGTACACCACATATCCGCATAAATTAATAATTAATTACTTTTCGTGTTGTTAAAACTTTCACTAAAGTTTCCTTTGAGATAAAATTTGAGAACTTGGTGTTAATCAGAACTTTTCTATCAAATATTGTCTCTAAAGTAGTTTCAATGTTGAATTGACGCTATTGTCAGTCACTGACTTTCAACAACAATAATTTAATTAAATTAAATATTCGTAAATAAAGGTAACTTTTTGTGATTTAGTTGCAAAAGTATATAGTTTGGTTTAAATCTGATATATATATATATATATATACATCCCAAACCAATTTGTCCGTAGATTTTGGAGCTTAATCTATGTTTACTCCCTGCTTATGGTGAAAAATAAAAGGAACAAGTTTTTGAGTTTTCCAGAACTATGCGGCGAATATAATCATTTCTCATTATATCAATTTTCCGTAATCACATACTTGATCTATCTAGAATTTATCTAAAAAGAAAATTTTATATCAAGATGGGTCAAAATAACAAAGTTTATTGTCCTTTAAATGGGCAATAAAACAATATATAAAATATTTAAATAAATGAAAAGAAACTGTATAAGTGTAGAAAATCCATTAAAATAATCTAAAGAACAAATACAGGATTAGGAAAGACATTGAGCACTAGCAACACCGACTATCGGCTCTAATTTATAAAAGTAAATAAGATATTGAGTCTAGTAATTTTAAGAAAGTAATATATTGTATTGACATTCTGTTCTATAGCTGATTTTATAATGTCTATACGATTAGTTGCTTCAAATGCGATACTTCCAGCCAAGGAAAAGTTAAGGCAGTCGCAGAGAATGTGCTTTATAGTGAAAACTTGTCCACAACTGCAGTTTGGCGAGGAAGACTTCTTCAAGATACATTCATTCGATTCATTCAAAGGAGATTTTTCTCGGGGGGGATTTGCATGATTTCTCAGTTGAATAAGATATTTTTAACAAGAAGGCCGAGGATTTTAGATTGATATTTTTGTAGTGATTTTAATACTAAAGCTACTGGCTGTTCCTCACAGTTGTACGCCGTAAGTTCAAACAGGTTGAACAGGTACTCTTGTATAATAAAATGCATTTATTTTTGTTCCGATTTAGTTGAGATTCTTGGCGAATTAGCCAATAGAGTCTTATAGTTTTTAGTCAAGTTGCTGGCTTTAATATAATTATCCCATG